TCGACCATTGCTCGTTCGCGTGACATTTATTCCTAAAAAAAAGACTTAAATAATTTTTAAATATTCAAGGGAAGGTTACGTTATTATCGGAATGAAAAGGAGAAGAAAGATAAACATGTATTCAATTCATCGTATATAAAAGGAGTTCTAGAAAATTCATTAGCTTTTTTTTGCATTGTTAAAAAAACTGTATTCGTACTGTTTACGTTATATCTCAAAATATACCTTCAACCACTTGCCTCGTTAAGAAATACGAACATGTTTCTTATAAAATGGTGCAACACAAACTGCATCCAATAACAGCATTTTAATCCTTACCAAAGAGAAGTAAAAATTAACTATTAACAAAGAAACTATTGGTGAAACATGTGAAACAAAATAGTCTCAGGATAGGATTGTTACATGAAATGATTCTCTGTTTCACAAATCGCACTGTTAAGAATGCATCGTGCAGTTAATGCCGTTCGTCTCGAGTCGTACGTCATGGTTTTCCCCTTTGAAATCTGTTTTATGCGATTGGCCCTCTGTCATAACATTATTGAAACTTTCAAAAGTAAATCGGTGTATTGGACGTTTCTGGGCGCGAACATCAAATGACTATTCGTACTAACAGCATTGTAATAACATTAGGGACCTTAAGCAGTCAGGACGGCAACGCCCAGGAAGACTTCGATTAAAAAATGAATTTCTGCCTTTAATTAGAATTTCAAAAATGGCTGCATGTGTTTACCGTCTCATACGGCGCCACATTTCAACTTTAGCATAACGTATAAAAGATGCGTTGAGTTCCAAATGGAAATTAAAATAATTTGCCGTGGCGGTTTCGGTTCGCAAACGATGTAAGCTGTGATGATTTCACGTTGTTTTGCATAGGACGGCTAAGAAATGTACAAAGTTTTAAAACGTACGTGCTGAGCTATTGTTCTGCCAAATAGATCTTTTGTTTTTCCACTTCGTCGTTGCCATCGCCGTCGTGGTTTGCTTAAGGTCCCTATTATTGAAACTTTCAAAAGTTAGTCGGTGTATTGGACGTTTCTGGGCACGAAAATCATTTGATTATTCGTACTAACACCATTGTAATTTGGGTTCACATTACATTATTGTACAAACTACAGCTCGGGAAAAAAAACCCTTCGACAGTTTATAAGGAGTTCTGATAAAGTTAAGGGCTGGGCTGTAAAATAAACTGACCAAAGCTCAGCTTTGTTCTTGTAAAAGTCTCGAGAAATTAAACACATTTGTTTGGTTGCAAACGTTTAGGTACGTGTTCTGACACTCCCGTTGGTGTTCGTGATGAACTGAAAGTGATACCTGATGATAACATGACTGCAAGCTCGGTGCTCCCTGGTTTTCCAGCCAAAGATGGTCGCTTGGCTGGAACTGGTGCCTGGTGTGCAAATGGCAGTGACACTGATCCATATCTTGAAATAAGCTTGAGTAAAAGCTACGTAATATGCGGCGTCGAAGTGCAAGGAAAGCCTAATGCTTCAGAGTCTACAACCTTTACGCTCCAGTCTTCAACAGACGGATCAAACTTTACTGAAGTTGACTCAGGGCGGGTAAATAATTGACCTTTAATTTTTATCTACATGTTTCGCTGGCGGGCTCATCAAATTTGTTTTGTGTAAACTATTTGAAGATATCCATGGTTTTTGTAGAGACTGGTTAGAATTTAATGCTTTAGACTGTCAATTTCCATCTTAAGGTGGGCTCAAAATATTTTTCTTGAATTTACGAAAATATTATTCCCACCAGCCAGACATCTTATAATTGGATCCTCAATTCATTTAATTATATATGCAAAACCCTTTTTTTCCTAGCTCCGAGGTTATAGCTGGACTTGATATTCAATAGCCAGCATCACTGTTCAGATTTTTTAAGCCAACTTATATCAAAAGTAGTATCACAACACAGTATACCATTTTTATCGTTGGCTTGATACGTTTTCTTTTTCATCGTAGCTTTTTACTTCATTGATTTTTCTCTTTTCTCTTTGGGGAATATTTTGGAATCTTTCGAAGTGGTAAACGCTGCTTGCAAATAGCGAATTCCTAGTGAAAATGCAAAGTTATTTTTCATAGACTTTTTTCCTTGGTGTTGTCGTCCTGATTACTAGGTCCCTTGCCGCTGTCATACGAATTTCACTGCCTCGAAGATGATGTCGATACCTTTTGCCTTTGACTTCCTTGTGTTAGCAGCCTACAGACTTGAATTCTTCTAGGTCCCTAT